CTGAGGCCCACAAGAGAGCCCCGAGCGCCGCCTCCTCCCGGCTCCGCGCTCCCCTCCCCCGCAGCAACCCCAGGAGGGCGCTCAGCATCCTCGCCGCGAGCTGGGCCCTGCTGGGCAGGGGCTGTGAGACCAAACCCGCCGAGCCGGGAGCCCGCGGCGAGCATTCTGGATGCAGGAGAATGCTAAGGCAGGGACGAGAGGAGGCGATTTGTGCAACTGTTACATATTTATATGGCGGTTTTCATAGTGGCCACATCCATGTTTTTTTTTTTTTTTTTTTCAATCATAGTGCAAACTTCCAGGAGCTTCTCTTGGGCTGGTGAACCTTTTTTGGGTAGGAGAGATGCGATGGAAGCACAGAACGACCCTCTCCCACTCCCTGTAGCCTTGGCAGAGTCCAGACAGCCCTGCAGAAGAAATGGTTAGCTCACTGGTTTTCAAACTTCGTTGTACATTAGAGTCACCTGAGGAGTTTTCAAATATCCAGATATCCATACTAATGAAATTAAAATGTAGGTGCCAGGCTTAAAAAAAAAAAAAAAAAATCTCCAAGTGATTCCAGTGTGCAGCAAAGTTTGGGAACCACTTAGCTAGAAAGAGGAGCCATGGCCCCTGACGAGGCTCAAGTTCACCACCAGGTCAGAGGCTGACTGCATCTTGAGTTTGTTGGACCCAGTGTCAGGTAGTGGTGTGTTATTAGTAGTATTTATGTAGTAAATAATGGGAGTGAGCGTGTAGACAAGGTGATTCCGTTTTAAGAGAGATACTGGAGAAACTGAAAAGGGGTAATCAGCTTAAGACAGAGTCTTCTTTGCCAATTTAAGTTATTCTCTGTGCTGCTTACACAGAAGGGAAATTGTCTAGAATTCCCACTTTTTAATGGAGGTTCATCTAAAAAAAAAAAAAAAAAGGAACTCTCATTCTTCCCTGTCATCGTGGATGTCCTCTCATCCCTCTCCCTGCCCTCCTACCTATGAGCCCAGGGTTAATTCTTAATAAACTCGCCTTTCCTTAGCATTCTTTTCATTCTTGCAGGTACACATGGTGCTAAACTTATTGGTCACTGTGTGTTTGTCACCACCACCTTCATTCTATCTTGAACATCAATGCCATGTTATTATTTTCCCTAAAAGTGAGCTGCCCTCATTTCCTTCTGCAGAAGAGCTTGAGTGGCAGCTCATTGCCACAGGACAAAGAGCCTAAAATTTATTTATGGTTGCTTTATTTCAGTTTTGTGCCCTGTCTCATTTCTTAATTCAGTAAACATTCATTCATTCAATAAATGTTCATTAAATGCATACTATATGCCAAGCATTATTCCGTGATTGTTAGGTGACATCAAGTGAGCTCCGACTCACAGCGACCCTGTGTCCAACAGAACAAAGCACCGCCCAGTCCTGCACTAGCCTCAGGATCTGCTGTGTTTGAGCCCATGCTTGCAGCCCCTGTGTCAGTCCATCTCGCTGAGGGTCTTCCCCTTTTTCGCTGACCCTCTACTTTACCAAGCTTGATATACTTCTCCAGAGATTGGTCCCTTCTGACAACATAACAAAAGTACAAGAGATGAAGTCTGGCCATTCTCACTTCTAAGGAGCAATTTAAGGAGTTCTGGTAACATAGTGCCTAAGGCACTTGCCTGCTAACCAGAAGGCTGGCAGTTCAAACCCACCAGCCACTCCTCAGAAGGAAGATGGGGCAATTTACTTCCATAGTGATATTGCCTCAGAAACCCAAGGAGGGGTCACTATGAGTCGGTCCTACTCAACAGCACATAAACAACAACAAGGAGCAATTTAGCTGTATTTCTTCCTAGACAGGTTTGTTTGTTCTGCTAGCAGTCTGTGGTACATTTAATGTTCTTCACCAGCACCACAGTTCAAATGTATGAAGTCTTCTACAGTCTTCCTTATTCATTGTTCAGCTCTCTCACATATATATGAGGCTACTGAAAATACTGTGGCTTGGTAAGGCACACCTTAGTCTTCAAAATGACATCCTTGCTCTTAAACATTGTAAAGAAGTCTTTCCCAATAGATTTCCCCAGTGCACTATGTCATTTAAGTTCTTGACTATTGCTTCCATGGACATTGATTGTGGATTCAAGTAATATGAAATCCTTGACAACTTCAATCTTTACTCCATTTATTATGATACTGCTTGTTGGTCCAGTTGTGAGGACTTTTGTATGCTTTATGGTAAGGTGTAATCCATACTGAAGGCTGTAGTCTTTGACCTTTATCAGTGACTGCTTCAAGTCCTCTTCACTTTCAGCAAGCAAGGTTGTGTCATCTGCATATTGCAGGTTGTTAATGAATCTTCCTCTAATAGTGATGTCACAATCCTTTTAATATAGTCCAGCTTCTCAGATTATTTGCTCAACATACAGAGTGAATAAGTATGGTGAAAGGATACAACCCTGACACACACCTTTCCTAATTTAAACCATGTAGTATCCCCTCGTTCTGTTTGAACAACTGACTCTTTGTCCATGTACAGGTATTATTCTATGAACAGTGAATGTAGCAGTAAACTTGAGGCATATCTGCGGAAAATAGCACTTATGGAAAGCACCAAAATTGTGCCCCCATCCAAACATCTGACACCCACCTTTGAGATAACTTTACCACAAGATCTGCTCAAAAATACAAGTTAAGTTTGTTTATCTTTTACTTAACACATCATGACACTACATGAAAATTATAATAGCACCTTCCTGGCTTTCACTGATGAAAATTTGTCTGTGACGTGCTCACTTTTTTTTCTTCAGTTTCTTCTCTCTCTACACTCAGCAGCACAAGATCACACAGTCTGTCTTGACCCATGGAGATTCTCAAATATGTAAGTATTAGTTTTAACTTGCTGAATGATTTCTCACAGATGGTGATGAAAACTGTAATGGTTTATAGAAACTACTCATTGGCACTCCCCTTCAAGTGGTGCCCACGTCACACGTTGTTTGTTGTTAGGTGCCATTGAGTCGGTTCCGACTCATAGCGATCCTGTGTACAACAGAACAGAACAATGCCTGGTCCTGTGCCAACCTCACAATCCTTGCTATACCTTAAATACACTTCTGCGGTAAGTAAGACATGGGGTATTTTTGCTGCATTTCTGCTCACTTGGAATTTATATTCATGCTGAGTATAAACAAGTAATCAAATAAATATGTAACAGCTTCAGGTAGTGATGAATTCTATGAAGAAACTTAAAGCAGGATTAAGGGAACCCACATGAGTGTTCCATGAGTCAGAATCAACTGATGGCAACTGGAACTGGAAAGGGAACAGAGTGATAGGAGTGAGGAGTGGAATCTATTTTCCGTCAGGGACTCAGAGAGGTCCTGTGAATAACTGATGTTCAAGCAGAGACTTGAATTAAGGAAGGGAGCCAAGAAAAATCTTGAGGCGAGAAAAGCAAGTGCATGTATATGCAAAATTATTTTTCTTTATATCTGTATAACAAGTGAAAAGATTTCATTTAAACTGTAGTTACTGTCAAAAGAATTCCTCTTAGGGAAGGAACTGTCTTTCCTTGGGAAAGTGCTTTGAAAAGGCCACTTAAAGCATGGGGTCTTACAAAGCTTGTGAGCGGCCCTCTAAGGTGCAACTGTTGGTCTTTCTCCTTCCCAAGTAAAGAAGAGTAAAGAAAATCAAAGACGCATGTAAACAATTAATCCAAAGGACTAATGGGCCACATGAACCCTAGTCTCCATGACCCTGAGACCAGAACTAGATGGTGCCTGGCTACCACAGCTGACCACTCGGAAAGGGATCACAATATGAGGGCCCGAATAGAGTAGGAGAAAAATGTGGAACAAAACTCAAAATCATAAAAAAGGCTAGGCTTACTGTTTGATAGAGACTGGTGAAATATCTGAGACTATGGCCCTTAGACAGGAGCTCTGGTGGCATAGTGCCTAAGGCATTTGACTGCTAATCAGAAGGCTGGCGGTTCAAACCCACCAGACACTCATCAGAAGGAAGGTTGGGCAATCTACTTCTGTAGTGATACTGCCTCAGAAACCCAAGGAGGAGTCACTATGAGTCTGAATCAACTCAACAGCAGTAGGTTTTATGGCCCTTTGACCTCCTTCAAGCCTGGAACTGAACTCACTTCTGTGGTTCAACTTTCAGCCAAAGGATAGACAGGCCTATAAGGTAAACAATAACATTAGAACAATTAACTATCAGAGATCAAAAGGAAAGTCTTTGCCCTGGAAAAGGTCAGAAGGCAGGAAGGGATAGGAAAGAAGGACAAAGGGAAATGGTAAACACAGGGAGGAAGTGGGAAGAGTGCCCTTACATTGTGGGGATTGCAATGCCACCCAACGAACTGTGTATGAACTGATGAATGGAAAACTAATTTGCTCTGCAAACTTTCACTCTAATCATAATAATAAAAGGCCACTTAAGAGTTTGTGGTAGTTCAGTTTGTGTGTCAACTTGGCTGGGCCTCATTGAGTGGCTGAGCAGCTGGTGGTAGCTAATCCCCAAGAGGAGACTGGCAATCAGCTCCATGGTGGGATCTACCACAAGCAGCTGGGTAGCTGCCTTTGGGTATGTAGTCTGCTTCCTGTATATAAGGGGAAGCCTTTGGGAATGGTCTCTACCTATGGCACGCTTGGACCCTGCATGTAGCCATGTTGTTGCTCAGCAGCCTGCTATGCTCTGCCGACCTTGGGACTTACAATGGACTTAAGTTATGTCCTGCTGTGTGGTTTGGTAACATCGCGGGACTGTGCCTTTTTACTTGTCAACCTTGAGGCTTCTCAGCCTCAGCAATCAGCAACTATCTGAGTGAAGATATGC